GTGTGTGTGTGTGTGTGTGTGTGTGTGTGTGTGTGTGTGTGTGTGTGTGTGTCCTCTCTGGGTTTGGATGTACTTCTGGGAAACAAAACTATAACTCATACAACCAACCGCCATCAGGGTGTGTATGAGTAGATTCAAAAATATACTTGCACCAATCTGCGCACGCGCTCACACTTGAATTGCAGCACTGCTCCTAACACTCTTGCATGTTAAATTAAAGGACGGTCTCTGTGTGTAAGATGTGCAAATGCAATGTTCGTGTCTTGTTTTAGCAAAAAATGTATTTCTGGCTATTTGTAAGTCCTCGACAAATGGGCCATAACGCACACGTACCCACAGGCCGGCCTGTGATGAGGCCGCAGTGCTGCAAGACTTTAGAGGAAGTGGAAGTGCAAGGACACACACTTCAGAGGGAAAACATAACATATAACTTCATTTAACGGCTGCAGTTGTCCGTGCTGCAACTATCTGACGTGGCGGTTGAGTGTATTGTTCTCCCACCTTGACCATCCTCGTCGCAGCTGACACCAAGATAACACAGAGACTTCAAAAGGCTTTGAGAGCCACTAGCCAAAACATTACCACCAAGGAAAGAGAAGAGGAAAGGAGGGAGGGAGGAGGTATACGGACCCCTATGAGCACACATACAGTTTAAAACACACATGCAGGGTTGGGAACCCAGATTGTTTTTCATCTTCTGAGAGGAGGCGTAAAATCGCAGCAGAGCCCGGAGTCTGAGCGTGGAGGGAAACCCACTCTGTGAACATTAGAGCCTGCTGATTGTAGTGTATTAGAGGAGATTTAAGAGTTTAAGAGCATGAGTGACAAATTCCTTTCTTTACCAAGAAGCCGCCTCTCTCTGGGACAGCCCTGCCTCTGAAGTCAAGTCCCTTACAGCCCTCCCCCCGGCATTAAGGGGACATAATAGGAAATTTTAGCTGCCGTTCAATTTATCTGCTTCTCTACGGCGGTTTCACACGTCGCTTAACCCGATTTCCCTCTCAAGCTTTTTTGGCGCAAAAATGCCCCTCTTTCTCAAGGGGATTGTCTTTCATTGCCATTACTGCCCAGTATGTTGGACGCAAGCATTTTAATCAGGTGGTGTCTGGTGTTGAAAGATTGCGAGGCAATTGGCAAATGACAATATCACTGGGTGGAAGAATGGGCTCGGGTAGGATGGGCTGAGAGTGTGAGAGCGAGAGAGAGAGGGAGGGAGTGCCCTGCAGTTGGCATCCACTGGCACACACTCCATCCTCTGGCACTCCTGTAGTACATTTGAGCTGGGCAGGGCAGCAGAGTGAGGGAAAAACTTAACCTTGGAAACAGTGTAACAGTCGCACCATTTCAAGCTTTTTAAACATTTGGCCTTTTTGTTTTTTTGGACCTTCACTGAGATCTTTGGTTGCTTTGTTACAGACTGTGGTAACCATGGTTTTAGAAACTACTTCAAACGTAAATCTGATAGAAACAAAACAAACTCTTCACCAGGCATGTGATCTCTTCTTCTCTGGTGGGAAAGTGTACACAGCGGCACAGAAGAGATCTGATGTTGATCTCGTGAACTCATCGCTGCTACTTTTCTTCAGTGGAAGCAAAAGTTTGATACGATTAAAGACTCTGGAAAAACTGGAAGCATCCATCTTCCTTGACAAGGCAATCAAAACCATTACTTTATTCATGTCCATCACAGCATTTTATACTCATTTTTTAAAACTTTTAGCTAAAATACTACAACAGAGGGGGAAGAGTGGGCCCTCTGGTGTCCAACTCCAACCCGACCCTCTGGAAGGCTTTGGAAAACATGAAGGAGCGCATACATTATGAACTTTTAACTGTATTTTCATACGTTTTACAGCTTTTTCCATTGATAATGACAACCCTCATGAACCCTCTTCTATACAGAATTTTATGTGTGTGTGTGTGTGTGTGTGTGTGTGTGTGTGTGTGTGTGTGTGTGTGTGTGTGTGTGTGTGTCACATCCTTCCTTTTCCTATATGAAGACACCTCAGGGATGCATGTTTAGCTAAATGTCTTTACAGTGACAGATAGGAGAGTCTCACTGGTCCATGATGTAAAAATACTTGTACTACTCTATTACATTTAGCATGCCACATGCTATGGCCTTGAACTACTGGTGTTATTTTACAAATTTGTTCCTTTACAATGACTTTACATTTATTTAGAACTCAGAGGCAACATTGGAGCTGACTTCAAAATGGCCACACATCCTCCTGTTTATATGGTCAAGCTTTATAGCAGAAATGAAGGGTTCTATAGCTAAATTTGCTCTTAATGTCAGCTACAATGAGAGAAACGATTTATGTATTTAGACTCACCACCTAAACTTATGTTAAGGCTTAAAGTTTTCATCCTTGGAAGCACTTTAAACGCCTGATCTTTGGTAACTGAGTCAATGAACTTCAACTAAACTAAAATCTGTGCTCTAGTTTTGGTGAATAAGATTCTATATTTAGCATTAATTAGCGGGCATCTGTGCATTGCATCCATACAGTTTATGGAGGCCCATTGCTAACAGAGCTTAGTAGCAGCAGACAATACTGTGGATGCTCAGCCTCCTCCTTTAAATGTGGTCACGTCTGGCTGAAGTCACGGCTATGGTCATAAAGCTAAAGTGGAGGCTTAGCAAACTGTTTATGTGCATCTTTTATATACAGTCTATGGGTGTGAAAAACTGGCAGACTGGAACTCATTTTTGGAGTAATTCTTACTTCCCCCCCCTCATTTTATACCCACTCTCTCTACGGTGACCCTCCGAAGAAGGTAAACAACTCTAAAAAATGTTTTCACAGAAAAAGCGAGCTCTGTAAAAACAGTTTGACACAAAACTCAAGTAATCTGATCTTGCATCGTACGAATTCATTTCCTTCCTTGTTTCAGCCTTGCTTATCATAATAACCGTAGGGTCATAGTATGCTAATCGCTGTCTTCACATTACGTTCTGTTTTCATAGACTCGAACTAAACACAGGATGGCAAGGTCCCTGTAGAGAATCATCAGAGAAAAATCTGTTGAAAATTAAGAAAATGGATACATTTCCAAATGACTTGCTTTTGCAAGACTCAGTTTGGTCAAAAGCAGACATCTATTGATTATTATAAAGTAATTAATAGCAGTATGGTCCTGTTTGTCCTGCTGCAGCCACACAGTTCAATCATTACAGAGCTGAATGAAGAGGCAGCGATAAGACCTGTGTGTTTTAGTAAGAGCACAGGTCTGCACATTACAAACTGA